TAAAGTTATACTTTGAAAATTTCGTGAAGTTTTTACGCGATCATTATGCGGTTCAATTTCGGTTTTAGAGTACTTAGTTCGCTAGTCTATGGTCACGATTAACTAAAATAATCGGGGGTTTGTTGCGTACATCTAGGTGACGCAATCCTATTTTTGACCATCCTATTTGGATCTGTAATTCGAATCTGGGGCTCACGTTTTGCTTTTAAAGTCGTAAACAGACAAAAATGAAGGTGTTCAAAGTCTTAGGTTGAGAGTCGTCGTTTGACGGGTCTCATGAACAGCTAGAGCTTAAGAAACAAAGGCGATGACGGCATTAAAAGCGTCAACGCAAAATTAATTTCCAGTCACTTTCAAATGTTATCGCGTTCAGTTTAGCCTTTCTAGAGTAAGCGAATTTTGATGGAGTTGATCCAAGCTAAAAAAGAGAGGAAATCGTGACTTTTTACGCAATTATATTTTGTTTTATTTAAACATGGTTTGCTAAGGTTTTAGTCTTGTTTGCAAAACCGCTGAGGTGACGTTTTACAATCCTCACTGAGACAGAGAACAACTTATTCAGCGACAAGATGTTTTAAAAAGAATTGCATGAATGATTTACATGCGCAATAACGCGCGCAGATGGTAGATGTTGTTGTTGCTGTAAAAAAATTGAGAGGTTTGCTAAGCGCTCAAGAAGCTACCGTTGCTCTCGGCTGGGGCTACGCCTTCTTTCGTGCGAAGCAACTTCCCGCTTACATCCATAACTCGATGGTTGCTGTACGTGATGTACGTGCAGAGCTGTTGTTGTGCCCATAAAATCAATGGTTATTCGACGTTTTCGATGCTGTCGTCATCGTTCTTGCTTAAGCTCCTTAATGAAATGACGTCGATCGAGAAAAAAAAAAGAAAAAACTAAAATCTTAGGATATTTGAAAGTCAATTCGTAAGATTACTATATTTAAATACCCTTTCACAGACACGTTTTTCCCCGCAAGATCATGAAGAAGTTACATAAATGGACTTTGAATTCTTTAGTCTCCCTAACTAACTCTTTTGTTATATGAATGTTGTTATTTCCGGCCCAGGCAGAATACTATTATTTTTCTGCAGATTTTAGGACATAGCTTATGACATTTCCCTTTTAGAATATATAGGGGTGTCAATTTTAGTTTGTGCAGGTTTTTTTTTCGTTTTGTTGCGGGCTACAGTAGGTTGAAAACATTTTATTTTTTTTTTACAAATTTTCATCACAAAAAATTACATCCTTTTCAAAATCACAGCTTGGGGTTTATTCTTAAAATATTCTGAAGATTTCACAAGTTTCAGCCTCGATATTCTTTTGAGATATATTCGTATGAAAGAACAGTGCGCGTCAGTTGCCATTCAACAGTTGCAACAGTAACAAAAGAAAAAGATTGAGGTCCTTAAAAACAATTGCAAAAGCAAAACGATGGGTAGAAAGCAATATTTGACGTTAAGTCCAGTCTGTGGTACGACCTCTCTTCACTTTTGTCTGGTCATAAGATTCACTCTCACCTACATATGATGATCTCATGACTTCAGTTACCTGAAGAAGATAAAATCATTTACCGTGCTTATCATGTGCCCCATTTGTTAGACGGCTGACTGTTGTTACAAAGTGAAGTACATCTTGCAGTGAGTAACCAGTAACCGGGACCGAAAAAGGGAAGTTAATGCTAGCTGATCCGGTCCTCATGCCTGACTTATAATATAAAGTCAAGTTTCCGGTAAGTGATCTCTAAATGACCGCCAAGCTTTAAGATTGTGTCTTTTTTTTGGCAGTAGGAAGCTTTGAGTAAGTTTTAATGGCTCGCTAAAAGGACAACAATTTAGAGCAGAGACCAGTGGATAGATGTAGTTTAACAGCTGTCGACGGCTACAAACCAACTCTATTTTGGGTTCTATCGGCTTCGTGTTTACCTCTTGCAAGGTTAATTTTCACGCTGAATAAGATAAGCATTGAAGATTGCATTGTGTCTTCTTGTGCCGCTGTTTAACAGTATACAACACTTTCATCTAAGAGACAGGAACTAAACTAGTAGGTGGAAGACTTTTAAAACAAGCTCGCCTGAGATCTTTTCAAAGGAAATCGTCTTCAGTTTCAAATAAGTTTAAACTGAACATGCTAAAACGCTGGAAAACGCAAAGACACTTGAGAGATAGAAAACGAAGCCAGGAAGGAAACGAGGAGAAAAACATAGTAAGGAAAAAAGAAAATATTAAAGTTTATTTTTTAGAGCTACTTAGAGACCTTACAGTAATATTGAACAAATAGACATAGGAACGGTCACCTTTGGAAATAAACAAGCGACAAACTAAACGACGAGGTGAACATAAGAATTGACGTAGTAAAATCCACGTACCTTTAATTTGTACGACCTTTCTTCGCTTCCAAAGGCTTTGAGGGTCATGGATCACGGGTGTATGATCACCACATGATTTCAGTTATCTATAGGACAGAAAGGCTTTTATATTACATGACTGTCGGAGTTTTGCTTGCTGTTCAATCTAGGACGAATTGTAAGAAAAGGAAATAAATAATTCCCAAGACCCCAAATAGAGGCATGCATTGAGTTTTTGACTGACCCATCTCATAACTAAAGCCTAAAGTCAAGTTTCCGGTAAATTCTTCACGAGATCAGCCTTAATTTATGCTAATTGTGTTTTAATTAGTACCATAGTAGGTAGCTTTAAGTTAGTTCTCTTAATTTATTCAGAGGGGAACCAAAAAATTTGCAGTTTCAGTTGCAAAATCAGTCACTGTAGACACTCATTCTCCTCCACGTCGCGTCTCGCCTTGATCGCGAGGGATGATTTTCACGCGCGCATGCGTTACGCTCGCTCTACTGTCCCTCGGGGGATGGGTGGGAGTGGTCCCAACCTCCCAGTTCCCTCCCCCTGGATTCATTATTGATAGACAAGAACAAAAGTTTTAAATTTGTAAATTTATTGAAAAAATGATTTCACGATGTCCAAATCTTTAAATCGTGTATTGTGCATTTCAAGTTTCATGGCGTTTTCAGAAACGAAATTTGATAAGGGTGGCAGGGGAATATTGGCGCCTGTTCAGTTTTCAAAGCGGATAAAATTTCATCGTAGCGTGACAAAAGTCTTAATGTAATTCACGAGACAAGAATGCCCGGGCAAGAATGTCGGTGGGCCATTTGATGTTCAAAGGTACAATTACTATTTTGTTGCGTTTGGGGCATTTGAAAAATTTTCTTTTATAATATCGCTTAAATCAGCATCAAAGAGCAGCTTGAAGAAGGGGTTTTAGCGTTTATGCCCAGCAACTTGTGGTACGAACCAGGTGAATATTTACAAATGAAATGTTATCTCATCACGCCTCCAACACTCCAACCAGCTGAGACTTCTGGTGAAAAGTGCTACGTACGGCCATTGAAAAGCCTTTTAAAAATTGTGCAAAGAATATGCAAATTTCAATTTCAAGTTATGAAATCGGCTTGGAATTAAAAAATCCAAGGTAGATTTAGAAGAAAAACAACTACGGCTGGAAAAGAAGGTATTGTCGTGTCCGAACCTGTGTGTAAAGCCTTTTTTGCCGTAAATTGATACCACGCTATTTTTTTCACTCATTTGTACTTTTGGCATTTTTTGCCCTGTGGGTCACCTACTGTCAAGCTAGTGATCTGTGAATGGACAGCTTTCATGGAAAGTGACCAATCACATCGCTTTACTTTCGGTCCCATGAGCTTTATTTAGTTCACGGGTGTTCATTTAACCCGCTTTGCAAACACTATGTGGAAGCAGTTGTAAGATGCTACAAACTACGGTGTAATTTTCTGGCTTCTCTCGAAGGTAATCTCTTCAAATGTCTCTTTGTCAAACGTGTTTGAAATTTCTTCCTTTCATGGGCTTACTACCTTGCGTAAATACCCTTTTAAATGGCGTTGAACACATCTAACTGCCTTACGCACTACGCACTTTGTGTATAAAATTTCGAGTTTCTGGGCATCGTTTCACCGTTCTTGAAATTCTACAAATCGTTTTGTCGGTAGGAAATACTTTTTACCAGTTCCTTCGTTGTTGAAAAACCTTCTAATGAAAATTCGGCGAAGATGTAGTTTGCCGCAGGGGAGCGAAGAAGTAGAAACACCGAACACGCATTTCTTTGTGAACGGCACCTGGCCTTAGCTATTGTGAGTTGGACGTAGGGTTTTAGCTAATTTCTTCGTTCGCTAGACTTTCCATATTTTCCCCTGAATCAAAGAGGCAGGTTAATCAGTGATTTTTGTGAATTTTCGTTTATTTGGACGAAAAACCGACTTTACAGTTTTTGAAGTTTAAGGCAGTTGTTTTTTCATGGAACACATGAACTGGCTATCAAACCTGAATTTTGATGCAGCTTTGCATACGATAAGCTCGAATATCCTTCCCTCGTTTACCAACGGCGTTTTTGTATCACTTAAATTGAACCCTCCGCCTTCAGTGTATGAAAGCTTCTGTTAAAATGCCTTGTTTTGGCTTTGCATGCCACGTTGTTCCTTTCATTTCTTGAAATTTATCACGGTAATCCATATCAACTCAATGCAAACACAGCGATGAATCGAAGATGGTAGCGCCGGTTTTAATATAGCTGAGCGGGTTGGCTCTGCGTTTTTCATTTTATGGTCTTTTGCTGGGTACGTTTACTACTACTGACGGCGTTTTAAAAACTCCAAGTTCTTGTGGTTCGCATTTACCCGGTTGTGACGAAGGAAACGCAAACGAGATGTGTTTTTGATCGCACGACCACAAGAACGAGAGGTGCATTTAAATGGTTTTGGACTCTTGAGTCATGAAGCCGTCTGAAGGGCTGGGAAATTAGGCGTTTTGAAATTTTATTTATATTGGTGGCAATTTTAAAATGAAATCTCTTTGCTTCTGTTTAATACACAGGCGCCTCGACGTCAACCTGACGCCCCTGGAACTCGCGGGAAATAGTCCTCTCCGTTCCCGCCATCATAAGTTGAGCGAGCGACATCTCTCGACAAGAAATGCTGAAATTTTTGGCCCTAAAGTTTAAGAATCAGTCCATCAATGAAGTAAAGCCTTATGAACCGCAGGTAAAAGAGAACACAAGATTCTTTCGAACACCGAGTGCACACAGAGCTCATTACTGCCTGTGAAACCACATGCATTTCAAACTTTGAGTTGTCTAAAACGCTTACACATCAAGTTTTATGTTGAATTTTTTAATTTGATTTCAGCTGTTTTTACAAGACGGGTCCGACCTAGAGGAAAGCACAGACGAAGATGACGAATTAAAGGAGATAAATGGAGGTAATTTTAGTAGGATAAATTTTATAATTTTGAGTAAAGGACTACTGACAGTAATTTATCTTTAATATATTGTCGTTTTCACTTTCATTCACCCTTGACAGATGCAGCATTGCAATTGAACAACAATTATGTCCAGCCAGAAGTTTTTAAAATTAACTCCCCTCTACCAGGAGGGCGAGTTTCAAGCGAAGAGATAAGTAAAGAGAAAGACCCCCGAGAGGAAAAGACTGGATTTTTGCCGATCGAGATACCCACTAGGGAAAATACAGCGCCTGAGAAACGCAAGTGGTCTCAAGTAAATACTCATAAACTTTTACAACAGTTTGCCTCGGGCAATGATAGTTCATCGAGCGACGATGAGATAAAAGAATTGTGCAGCAAGAAAAGTGGACGAATTGTGTTAAGCTCAAGTCCACCTGGAAAAGTGACTGTCTTGTCAAAGCACTCGGCATTTTCCTCTATAGTAAGGCCAACCACTTACACAAGCGAGGGTCACTTGAGAAAAAAACATCGGCTGGTTTTCGCTGAGGATGAGGCATTTGCCTCGAGGGACACCGTTTCAAGACCTTCACTGAACTTTGAGAAAATGCAGCAGGTAGGTTCAGCGAGTGTCTTTGTTCAAACGTCGAGATTTTATCATTTGGCCTCGAAGAGTCTAAATTTTGAGGATCAAGATTGTTTTATTCCGGTGTAGGTAGAATTAAATGCCACAGAACAATTAGTGCATGACGCCCAAAGATTTGAAACAGCCTCGGATTGTTTGCTTCTTTTGATGCCATTGTCAAGTGGTGAAAAATTTTAGGCGCATGCCAGCTAACTGTAAAACAAAGTCTGCGAAGTTATTGTTATCTTTCAGCTATGGGGGTTGTATTTATTTTCTTTTGGCATGACTGGTAACCCGGTAAATTGCCTCATCTGTTTGCGTCATTGCTTACAATCACTTTTCTCGCTACGTTTCACCCTTGGTCAAGACCTTCAAGTATCTTATGAAATCATGCATTCGTGATTAACCTGATCTTTTGTGCTCAATTGTGCCACTGCTCCGAAGTTGTTCCAACATGGTGACAATGAGATGTGTTCAGTTCAAATAGGTATCAAGCTGTGATTGGCTGTGCTACAGAACACCCGATGTTCACATTGATTGCATAGGTGTCACTATAGCCAAGGCTCGTAACTTGATGCAATCATGCAGAAATTTCACCAGACTGTAACTAATGTTAAAAATGGGAAAATGCAGACAGTTTGAGACTTCAGTGCATTTTGCTATTATAAGCCTTTGTTAAAGCCCATGGCAAACTGGTAGAGATGAATGTCTTAATTACAGTAGGGTCTGAATCCAAGTCAACTTTCCCTAATATTTTGAACCAACAGCTGTATGCATCATCTTCAGAAGTGTGTTAATTAGCCTTGACATGTATTTGATCAGGTTCTATCCCTCGAGCGTAAAATAAGGGCTACCGCCTCCAATGTTCAATCAGCAGCACATTTTGAGCAGTTTTTGCACTTAATTAAACTGCCACAGAAAAATTATTCCATGCATGACATGTCCTAAACTTACCAAAGGTGTGGTAAAATGGGCTACAAAAATTATTCAACTTGTCTTGCAACATTGCTGCAAAATGAGTTGAATAGCGATGTTATGCATTTTACCACCCACGTCAATCCTGTCTCGCAACATGTCAGGAGGCTATTAACAGGTTTGAATGTGGGTAGTATAATGTGCAACGTTGCTTTTCAACTTGTTTTGCTGTAGTGTTACGGAACAAGTTGCATGTTTTGTAGCCTTTTTTACTGAAGCTTGACCTGGCTTGAAAAAGAGAGAAAAATGTACAGTGTATTGTATTGGTTGCCTGAATTTTATACAATCCATTTTAATTCAGCAAATCTCTCAGGCCCATAGGAAAGATGGGTGTGACAGGTACACCCACATCCCCACATCCACCCCCACATCCACCACCACAAGCTCAGTAGGTCCACCTTTTTAGTTGACTGATTTAAAACAAGGTGAATTAATGAAGAAAATAGTACTTTTCTATTCTAATCCACTGATTTTGTAGCAAAGTATGAATCCCAATCTTTACTCTCTGCTAAAGATTTGCTGTACTATTCCAACCTCTTGCTGAGCGTGTGAAAGTAGTGCAAGTTATCTTTCGATACTAATGCCTTGTGATCTCCTCTCTGAGTTTACATAAGTACTGTAGATGCGAAAACAGCTATTATGGTTTTCTTGATAAATGATCCAGAAATAAACTTCGAGTTATCTTGCCTTCTGGCTTTTCCTCTTAAGATGGCAGTACAATGAGTAACCTTGAAATTAATCTTCCTTTCTAGAAATCTGTAGTGATTAAGAAGCACAATCATGGAGTGACAAGACCAAGAGCCATCAGAATAAGGGTAAGTCTTACACAGGGCTAAAACTTTCTGACACCTGTCTGCAAAAAACCTTCACGCTGATTTACATAGTGCAACTCTGTCGCATGCTACGTTGTTACGATGAGTATGCAGCACAAGTTGTATCGTGTAATTTAAACTACAATGTACAGCTGTACCGACTTGCCATTGTCATTAGTTTGATTTACTTGGTGGAGTTCTGGTTGTAGGTTTACCATAAGCACATTGCATGCAACAAAGTTTTACTGATTAGATTAACCTTAACTTTGTCATCCCAAACCCAGTTACCAAATGAAGGTTACTTTTCTGAAATGAGTTTGGGTCGGGCTGGGTTCTCCTCATAATGCATATTTCACTATTTTTAGGTACTAAACCCCGACTTCAATGCCCGTTTTTACATCTGTCCCCTGAGAAGTCTACACCTGTTTCTTGCACAGACAGTTGCTTCCTGACCAAAATGGACACAGATAATGTCAAGCTACACCCTTTTAGACTGAGGCCCTCTATCCCTTTATGTCCCTAGTCTGAATTTCAAAACCTGTCGTTTCGTGTATTGAGGAGGAGCATATTTCATCTTTGTCTTTGCGCTTTTCTCTGTCACTGTCGCAGCTTTAACCCATCTTTGTGTCGTTTGTTGCTATTTCTGCTGCCCCATGTCGTTGTTTCAAGGCCATGTTGCTTGTTGAAATTTACCCTACCAGGGCCTCTAGACTGTGTCTATTCCATCTTCTCTAGGAGGAGAACAGTACTTATTAAGATTTCACAGTACTTACCCTTGTAAATGGGTGTCAAAGGCAACAGTCATCATGGCTATAATCTGAAGTTTTACTTTGAGGTGGCTATGTGTGTACTTCATGATGTTTCCAACAATCAATTAAGATTTGTGGACGCCCAGTAATTTTACAACCTCTTAAAATAACTCAAGTGAAATTCACATATCCCGGCCGATGCCCTAAAATTACCTAGACCTCTGTCCCTTTATTCTCTCTCGGTGTGTGTGATGTTAACATTCTTTCATTTTACTTTGATCTTTGCAGAGTATATCTAACCCTAGACATAGTCGTTCATGTGATCCTGCTGTGTTGGCGTTTAGACCCATTCCTACAATGCAGATGAACCCATCGTTTAGTCTAGCACCAGTTGAAGAACCAGGCTTTGCTTATTGAACTCCTATCCAGCTTTTAAACTGATGCTGGCAAGTACAGATTAGATGTTTAAACCAGTTATGGAGGATTCAACCATGATTCTGCATTTTACGGCCAGTTATCAGAAACCTTGGACCCATGCGTGGTTCTTGTAAGTTAACGACTTGTTTCTACAAGTAGCAGAGTATATCTCTGAAGTGACAAGGAACTGATGGCTTGTACCTTTTAGACTGAAGAGAAAAGTTGTATACTCAACCGTTTATTATACTTGTCATATTACAAGGTTGCTCAGTTCTTTGAGCAGTTTGATAGACACCTAAACTTAGTTTTTGCATGCAACATGTCTTGTGTTGGTCACTGTGCAAGGTAATACTTTATACAGAATAACAGCTGAATGACAGCAGAGATTTATGCCCACCCTTGTGCATCCTAGGGTGCTGAAATGAAAACGTTGTACAACAAGACAATTGTAAGGTTTTATGGTGTAAATTGGTAAGAAAGATGGATCGCTCTCAAAGAGGTTTAATTTGATTGTAGGATTGATCCACACATACACAAACGTGTAAATGGAGCTGAAAAAAATTGTGCTAGGGTGCAAAGGGAGTAGAACTCTTCTGTTGTAAGTCCATTTATTTCAGCTGGTCAGGTGTGTAAATTGATGTCTTTAATTATCTTATTTGTGGAAGTTGACGGCAATTGTGAACTTATTGCAAGTCCAAAGTTATTTTTGTCAGCTTTGATTGTTTTTAATGACCTGTCTTTATCAAAGACAATAGTAATTTTGATCACAGAAAGAAATCGCTAAGGCTGGGTCTTTTGGAGGAAACTGTTTTCTTTTTTAAAGAACCTATGGCAGCTTTACCTTTTAAGTTGTCTTGAACCAACAGTATTTTTTTTTCTTCCAATATTTTCAAAGAACATGTAGCTTTTGGGTGTAAGAGCAACGACACTGCTCACCAACTGAAGATATGCCTTGATTCATGGCCTTCTTTTCTTGGTTTTTGTGTATGGGAATTGTTTAAAAACATAGGAATTTTCAAACACACCAAGTTAGCCTGTTCCAGGCATTCAGATCGTGGGGATGGCGCAAAGAAATGCAAACGGAAAAAACAACGCTCTCTGACTTCATGCTGCACTCCACTATGTGAATGCCTGGAACAGGCTCACACCAGTTATATTTAGAGCATATGCACGACCTGCAGTTGGCTGCAAGCTGTTTGGTCATCAAAAAAGGTTGGAAGCGGGCTTCCATCGCTCTCTGTGAGGGATTGTCGATATTTGAATAGCTCAGAAAACTGTGTGGTGGGGTTAAAATTGATGGTTCTCTAAGTTTATCATGAAAGATCCTAGATGATTAATTGGAAAACAGTCTGGCCTTAGTTTTATTGTTGAATAAGGTATATGTGCTGTGCCAGGTTCTTAGTTTGCAGTTAGGGTGTTTGTTCAAGTTTGGATCAGTCAGATTTCCTTTATATTTGAGCTGTACTCAAAATATTCCAATAACTTCTGAAGTAGGCGCCTTAGCCAGGTGGCACTGTTGAGATAAAGTTGTAAGCATTTATGTGAAAGTCCAAGTCGAATGAGGTAGAAAATTGGCCTTGAGTAGATCATCCTCTTGTGCCCCTTTTTATGACAACAGTGTAGTTTTCATACATTGACTTCTGTTAGAGAACAGTTCTGTGTGTTATAAAACACCATTTGTTTCAACGGCAACAAGATATTTTTTCCAGGCTGTTTTTCACAACTACCAGTTACATCCATAACTTTCATGATCTTTTTTCATTTAGTTCTTCACCTCACACTATCTTTATATGATTTTTGTTTTTTCATTATTTCAGGATAATTTCTGTAGTTACTTTACTGCCTTTATCCTTAACTTGAAAATGCACTGTTCTTGTACTTGGAAGTTCTTTTTGGTAGAAAACAGACACCATGGCATAATGTAGTCTCTCATAGGTTTAATCTAAGCAGGCTTTACGTGGAGAAAAAATCTTTACAAGATTTACTGTGTGACAAATAATGTTTGCAAGTTTCTACTGGTTTTCTGGTATTTTTTACGTGTGGTGGTGTGAAATATCAAACTGTCTTCTTGATCATTGGACTTAAGCTGGGTGTAAAAACTTTTTTTTTGTTTAGTCAGTTTTTCACATTTCATACCTTTTGTTGGACTGTTTTGTAGGGCATTTGTTTCATGTAAGAAACTACACTTTCAGAACAACTAAATGAAAGCTGTTTTCATTGCTTTGTGACAGTTAATGCATTTTTGTGCAGTTTCATTGAAGATAAAAATCATCTTCCGTTTGAGCAACTTTTTTTCAGTAAATAACAACTATTCTCTATTTTCAAATCCTCTGTAATAAACTTGCAAGTTCTGGGAAGGAAATACAGTGTATAATGGGGGATTTGAAAATAGCCAATGGTCTTGTGTGCTGTGGTTTGTTTGTTTTTTGACCAGTTTGAATTTTTTCTTCATTCTATGAGTATCACTGTGATAATCATAAAAGGACGAAAAATTGAAACTGGAGTCACAAAGAAATACGAGTAAACCACAACATGCATATTATACAAACGAGATTAATCCTTTAAGCCCTAATATGAAAAGGTATCTTAAAATCTTTTATCATTTCCCACATTCTCATGACCTTTATGTTTGATTTAGCTGTAGTATTATTAGGAGAAGTTAAATACCGGTCAGTATTAGGGCTTAGAGGTTTAAAACTATTCCATGCGTTTTGTTCTTGACATGTAGTTTCTTCAAACAAGTACTATTGAATGACATGATGTGTGAAACTACTTCGCATTTTTTTTTTCAAAAGAGAGTAGCAGGAAACCTGTTTTGGCTTTTTTTTACTGTTTGCAAATCATTGACTTATACAAGCATTAGGTCCTTTAGACTTATTCTAAAATTTTAGGGCAGGCTGTTTTTACTTGATCAAAAAGAATTCCATCTTGTCGCTTACATATCACTAAAAGACCTGGTTTATAGTCTTATTTTTGACATTAACTTTGTGCTTCGATTGGAAGCTTTTCTCAGTTCAATGCCAGAATACATCTCCTTCAATAATGGGTGAAAAGAGCCAAAACAGTGTTTCCCTTAACTTGTTATTTGGTGTCGTGAAAACTTAATATTTATCTACTTAAGTATATTTATACAGATATTTTGTACATATGTATTTTATAACTACAGAGAAGAGTTGGAAATTATCTGAGAGTTTGAAACTTAGAGAAGTATTTATTCGGAACAAGACATGCATGTTGGTCTTACAACACTGTAGTTTGGCAAGTGTGTGTTTTTGTTTGCCTCTGGAAACATTAAAAAGTGTTTTAAAATATTTGATTTGTCCCTGTTTTTTTTTTTTATGTAAGGGCTTGCCAAGAGGTATCCCATAGTGCACTCAGGCACATACTATAGGCTGGTTTTCACATGATAATAGCCAGACTTGGAGTTGTGGGTGTTTATGGCCCCAGCGAAAATCAAAAATAATGATTGCTGTCATCAGCAGGAAAGAATCCCAGTTGGAAGAACATGCAGCTTGTGCATGAGGTTCCACTTGAATTTTGAACATAATGTCTCCATTTCTATGGTTAATTTTATGGTGAATTTTGTTGTTGATTTGTTAATTTTCTCCAACTCCATGTATGACTCTGTCACTTGCGTTCTATTGAAAACCAGATTGTCGCAGGTGGAGGTAGTCTGAATCTCACACATGTCCTAGAGTGCCAAACTCCTGCTGAAATTCAGGCTTATTTGGAAGTAGAAGGAGAACGTTAAACCAGTCACAATGCTTGTTCCCTCTCTTTGTGATTGGTTAAGATCATTTTAATAATTGTTTTACCTACACACAAATAGAAATGACTCCTTCTGTGTTTGTAAAAGATTTATTCAAGTTTTGTGTGAAAACATACAAATTTTTTTTTTTTGGCTGGCTTTTTTCCCAAAAATTGTTTTACATTTCCACATTGTTGTAACTAATATTTTCTAAAAATTCTGATAGCTGTTACCTAAGGTATGTAATAATTATTGCTGTCATACAGCACAGAAAACAATTCAAACCATCAAGCATAAAATAATCTATAGGCCAGCAACTGTAGGACTTGCCTAAAGTACTTTATTTTTTTGAGTTTCAAAGTTTAATGCAAATGGGATCATTGTAGCTATGTCTTTCCCAAGGTCTGGCATCCAAGGTGTTATGCAAAGCCTTAAACTTTGTGCTGCAAGACTTGATCAGTAAAGAACCACAAAAGTGCAACCAGTGCCTTCATTAACAATTAACACCTTAACATGCACAATATTTTGCTTGTCATCTTTTCTTTTGTAACCGTGAAGGTTTCGCTTTAATATCTTTGCATTTTGGTATATGCCTTTCTGCTGCAGCTTGATTGAATTTTCTTTTGCAGTGAGGACATTGTACATAGTCAGGGTTTTCTGTGGGCGGTGGTGGCTCATCACTAACTCCCTTAGCATAGCGGATAGCCTTTATGAAATTCTCATGCTGTTTTCTCCAGTCTACCTTGCGCTGAAAGCAAAAACACTTGGTCAGTCAGTCAGTCAAAGGAAATATCTTTATTGCTGTTTTTCAAGTTCTTTAAAGGTCCACCTTTCCAGTTTATGTACAGTAGAGAGCTAAACTACTAAAATCAAATTCATTAATATTCAAAGTGGACAGACCAGGAGCATTGACTACAGCACTGCACCTCAATTTGGAAGCATTGTTGTCTTGGGCACAACAAAATACAGGGCCAGTTTTCTAGGTATACGCATTGGGGTGGCTCGACTGCTTACTACTGAAATAAAACATCCTTTTCTGTGGTATCATTCAATTGCCTCTGCCCTAGGGAGTCCTGACTGAAGAGCCACTGAGTTACCAAGTCACTAAAACAAATGCCTTTCTTCTTTTAAAACTAGCGTAGATAGACTTATTCTAAAATATAGATAAGCCCCTTCGAATATAAGCCCCTCCAAGAATAAGCCCCTCAAAAAGGGCCTTTGAAAAATATGAGCCCCAGGGCTTATTTTTGGAATTTTACTGTATACCTTAACTTGTTTGTTAAAACTTTAACACCTGAGCCACCAAGTAACTTCTGTTTAAGACCTTACAATATGACCCTGTATTAACCTTAGTTGCTCCCGGTAACTCACCTTTTTCTCAGGTTCTTCCAGGTGCTTTCCACTCAGCACATACTTCTCATAATCTGTCCCAAGGCTGCGGTGTTTACTAGTATCAAAAACCTTTCGTTTAGAGTTTGCAGTTTTTGCACACACTTTTTCATGTTTGGCCAGCCTATCTGGGGCAAATTTACGCCCACAGATTGAGCACGGCAATACATCCACTACAACTTCACCCATGTCTTCAGTCATTTCAGCATAGAAATTACTCTGTGCATTGTCATGAATATTTTCTTCACTATCTTCATGTGCTTGAGAGGGCTGTGTCTCCTTTTGTAAAGTTTTGTGAACATGAGGTTTCTCTATCTTTTTTGACACTTTTTTCCTAGTCTGTTTAGACTCCTGTACATGTGTTATTTCTTGTGGTTGCAAAAGTGACTGCTCTATACTTTGCTTTTCTTTCAACCACTTTTCATCCTCTTCCGTTTGTTTTTTCTCCTGTTCCTCCAATTCTCTTTTCTGTTGTTTCAAATTTGCAAGTTTTGATTGTTCCTCCTGAATCTTTTGTTGGAGCTCTCTTTCTCTTTGAGAGAGAGACATTTCAGAGTTTTCATTCTTCTGTCTGTGTTTTTCCAACCTTTCTTTCCTCTCTGCATCCTGTTCCATCTGCCATTTTTGGAAATCTGTCAACTTCCCACTATCCTCTAGATTTGTGACATTTAATTTTTGTTTGCTTAGTTGCCTTTGCCTAAAAGCTTTGGCTTTCAGTTTGCTTAAATTTGGAGGAATACTGCTGTGATCTGTAAGGGTACTGAGAGCATCATCATAATCACTTGCAGACTCTTCACCACTAGGGGGTGGTAGAGGAACTTTTGTTCGTTTTGCAACTGGTTTTCTTTGAATAGGGGGAACAGGCATGAAGGGACCTGAAGATTCATAATCATCTTCACCATCTTGCATCAGAACAGAGTGTGTCTCGTATCTTTTATTAGGTGTTGGTGGCTTTCTTTTCGCTACTTCAGAACCTCCTTTATTTACCGGTGGAAGCAGATCCTGTTTGTCAATACCCTTGGTCCTTTTCCTTACAAGAACACCAGCTTGCCTTGGTTGAGTTCTTGTGTTGTGTTTAAGAGGTACATGTACTGCTTGTTGTGGCACCTGCGTTTCCGAGTGCTTCAAGCTAATTCGTCTGCCAACTGGCACAGGTTGAGCTGCTTGCTCCTTTTTTGCTTGTCCACGCAACTGCACATCCTGTCTTTTTTCCTTAACCCGTTTGAAATGTGACTCAATAGGAGGCAACAACTCAGGATTTTTTTGCCCCTGTCTTGAAGCCTCCAGTGCTCTCCGCTCTGCAAAGAATTCCCGTACTGTTCCTCCGCCACTTTTTGGATGCTGCTGTTTAACACTATTCTCCTGCTGGATAACCCTTAACTTGTTTATCTTCTCCTCTCGCTCCATTTGAAGTTTCTTATTGTAATCATTCCGGAGCAATTCCAAGCGAGATAGCCTCTGCTTAGGGGCACTTCTTCCTTGGCTCATATTGTAATTAACATGTGAAAGTTTGGCAGAAGCTGTCTTCATTTTATCATCAACAAGAGATGAATGTGCTGCATTATTCTTATATCCTTGAAAAGATCGAGTCGGTGAGGTGTCATAAAGGGTCTGCGCCATCGAAGGGCCTCACTAATCTGTGGTAAAAAATGGTTTTAACATAAGTTAGCAAGAGCAGTCTTTCAATATTGACAGTTGCAAACAAACTTTTAAAGCAGAAGGTTTTATTTCAAACCATCTTCATGAAAACCAGCCTTCTGTCGAATGCATTCTTGTTAGAACAAAATTTACAATGCTTCTTCTGAGGGATTTCTTTGAACAACAGCAAAGCAACAACAACAACAACAACAACAACAACAAATATTTACATCGTATGAAAAAGAACCATAATTTTCTCATTGCCCTTAATTCATTATATCACTCTTAAAATCAGTTGTAAACAGTTGAATTGATTACAGAAAGATAAAAACGGACCTTCACTTAATATATATTGGTCACCACTCAAGGCTATCCACTGTGAATATACAAACAAATCTTTGTAAAATGTAAACAATTGTACTGTAGGATTTTCTTAAAATTTCCGGTATACGTGATAACAATATTGCGGGAATATTGATGTGAATAATGTCCGTCACGAAAATCATAACATATTAAGCCGGGCATCTTCTTCTACAGCGCCTGTATATTCAAGTTTACTCATCGACAATGGAAAAAAGTAACATTTATGCGATGTTTCTGTAATAAACAAACAAACAAAAAAAGATACTTTTTCCGTCACGAATAAGCGTACGTTTGGTCACCAGATTGGGTCGACCGTGATCAGAGTTTGCGATCATTTTGAAATATTTAGTAGAATTTTTGTTGAAATATTTCTTATTTTGTTGATTTTTAAATCATGTGAAGACCCAGGAAGACCTGAATGTTCATCTTTTTAAGGTTCTTCTATATCGATTGCGGTAAAATTTTGATTGATTACAAAATTTTAAAAATCCAACGATAAGCTTACGTTGATTTCAGAGCGTAAGATCTGTCAAAGCACAGAAGATATTTAAAAACTGCTTACCTCAGACGAAAAATTTCGTTCCCTTTCTCCAGGTTTGAAAGTTTTCCCGCATTCAATGCAGTTTACAACGAGTTGTAACCAGAAAGCACAATGATCTCCAGCAGTCAAGTTGATTGTGTGATACACACGATTGGGGTTGCTATGTAAATACACTTGGTGTTGCTATATACACAGTACGAAATCGCAAATCACTAAGCAACACGAATTCAAACCCAGTCCACCATCTTCCCGCTCACGTCCAATATGGCGTCTCCTTCACCGAGAAAAGGCAAATCACCTAAAACAACTAAAACACCTTCTAAAAAGGGAGCTACATCTCAATCAACGCCCCCGAAGGCATCTCCCAGCAAGAATTATTCAGAAATTCCCAAAAGAGTAAGAGACTGTTGTGCAAGTTGGCACGATGTCGTCCTTAAATGGTCAAAATTGAACGAGTTGGGAACCACAGTGGCTAACAAATTGGTGAATTTTCGTCTTCAAAAAGAGTAAGTTTGAGGCTGTGACAGTCAGATTTTTTCTCAGGGTTTTCCTATTCCGCCAGTGGACTACAGTTTATCAACAGACTAGTTAAAAAAAACATTTTAGACTAAAAGTAAAATTATAAGTCTTATTGGTAGGGATAGTTTTCAGAGCATTTCACGAAATAGCTAACCTTTCTATCTTCAAGTCTTACAGTCCATAGTCTGCATTTGCTTGACTGTCGGACTGTGAGGGGTTTTGTTTCGGGGCAGGAGCGATGGGTTGGAGAGATGGAGGCTTACATGTAGCCTATGGTCTAGCTTGCAAGCAAGCTCTCAGCGACGCTTTGGAGGTGGGGTGGAAAAAGAAGGAAGGAGAGCTTGCAACTACGTCTCTGGAATTTGAATATCCGCATAGAAAAAGTTGATGCGATATGCTGATTGGTGGAGATGACATTTGTAATGACATCATTACTCTTGGCACGTGTTTTTCAATGTTTGTTTACATTGTGCTCGTTTCTGCTTTGCACTAATTAGTGAAAATATGACAGCTCAGTCGACGAAGAACCACAGGGGAACTTGAAGTGGAATTCAAATTCCAGAGATGTAGTTGCAAGCTTTTCTTCTTTTACCCGCCCCGCCGCAAGAATGCCCCAGGGAGCTTGCTCGCCGACTACCTGGGGTCAGGTTATACATTCACGGCTTAGGTGAGAGAGTGGGTGAGAAAGTATGAGCTTGCTTTGCTGCGTGTTTTCATTTCACCTTGTATCCAATTGGAAGGCCTAAACAGATAAATTTAAATGTGGGGTTCTGCTGGGGGGGGGAGTTAATACAAGATAAACTCTTTTAAGGTTCCCACCGCACACCATTGTGAGCTTGCCCTCATTGTATTCTGCTGAAACCCTGGACACTTAAGTTAATACAAGACCTAGCTCAGCTGCATTTTGTTCTCCTATACTGCCCTCCCCTGGGTGCAAGAGACTTTTCATGCGCAGGTTCTGGCTTCAGTACTGAAGGTTCTCAGCACACATCATTCCAGCCACAGTTTGGGAAAAATGAGCTTGCCCTCATTCTCCTTCTCTTCGGAGAGGATCAAAGATGCAGACTCTGGATATGGTGGATATCGAGTCTAGTTAAGCTAGTTCTTCCATGATGACTATGTGGCATCTCTTTTGTTCTGTGCACAGTCTCTGTTAAAATACCCTTTGTATCTCCATGTACAGATATAATTCAGGTGAGGATGCCACTAATGTTGTCTCCAATGATCAAGACTCTATAAAACTTCAAGAACAAATTTCAAAGGCATCTGAAGAACTTTCCAGAATATATGGGTCTTTGGTATGAATAAAAATATTGTTGCTGTACTTACCAAATATAATAGCAATGTAGGGAACATTGATAGGGTAATAGGGTTGTATGTAGCCTGTGAACAGGCTTTTGGTTTGGAGAAAGGGTGAGAGCCTGTAGACAAACATTTGGGACTGTCTTTTTTTTGCTTGGGCCTTCCATTATCGTTCTTTCATCTCACATGCACTCTCCATCTATCGTGACTCAAAAGAAAAAAGGACACTGCTCGAAGTGTATCTTTCAGGTGAAGAAATTATATTTTTTTGTAACAAATTTGGCAAGGTACACAAGCACAATGATTGTTTCTAATAGCCTGAGGATTAACGTTTCTTTGAGATGGACACAGGTTGTACTGTTCGTTTTTCAATGCCCATTTTGTTGTATTACTTTTTTCTTAGGCCGATTTACTCACAAAAATGGAGTCTTTGGTACAGACCTTCAGTGCAATAAAAAGCTTGCAGATGTCAAAACAAAATGGACATGTTTCCTCTGACAAAAGTCAAATATTCAGCGTGTGGACAATCGAGCAATTCTGTGAGTATTTCCTCTCACTTTTTTGGCTTCACACCTCAAATTTTCTAATCTGGATGACTCCATCCCAGTGAACCACTTTAAAACAGTCCAGGTATTAAATGAATGCATAGGTCAAAAACAACTTGACTAAAAAAAAGAATCAGGGCTTGTTCCCGAACAAGCAGCTCTTACATTTTGCTTGCTTGGGACCATTGTTTTCTTGACGTAGTTAATTATTTCGTGAAAAGATGACCTGCCTGGGCCCTTGCCGATTGGACAGATAAGGCCCGGTTCAGACACTGCTCCACTCATGCTGAACCTTACTGATGAATTAAGTACAGCAAAAGAGCGATGTCTGAATCAATTTGGTATGGCAGTTTTAGTTTGGTACAGTAAAAGTGTTAAGTTTGACAGAGTCTGTTGAACTTTTGTCCAACTTAACTTGGGCATGACCCCCAGTGCGCCGTCTGAATCAGATGTCACGCTAGTGTCACTCCAAAGTCAAACTTATTCAATTAGGTTTGGCAGATGAAAAGTACGTCGTCTGAACCCGTCCGAAGCTTGGAAAGTTAGTTGCCCGGCAAGAAAATCTACTAGTCCCAGACTACAGGACAGGAATCTGCCAGTCTTAGGCCGAGGTTGTTCAAAGCTGGGTTAAGATAACCCAGTGTTAGCATGAGATTTGAATTCAGATTTGAAAGCTTGAAAAGCCTTTCAGTTTTAATTCTTTTTGTCTACAAATTGATGATTGGAAGCTCTAAAAATAACGGAGAAAATTATCCGAAAAAATGGTTTTGAACATAAGAAAAAGAAACCCAGGTTAAGCACTAATTGGCCTTCGAACAACCGGGCCCTGGAGTACAGGACAGGACTCTTTAAGCCATGTCAGAAATGGCTAATTACGTTGATGTGATGATACTGTGTTTTTTTTTTCCAGGTGACGCATCACAAAGACTTTTTGATTCATACTGTAATGAACTCTCTCTTAAAGAGAAGCTGGTACCTGAGATTACTCACTGTAGAAACAGAGATAAGCTGATGGTGTACCTCTCATTATGGCTACACGAACCACTGATCCAAGATGATAACAACATACTGTTAGAGAGCATGTTAATAGAAGCAGAGCTCAGATAGCAAGACATACTATATTTAATGCTTTTAATGCAGTAAAGAAATTTGAAACTAAAATACTTATATGAAAGCTTGGACAATTATTTGGAAGTAGTAAAACTAGCCTGAGGAAACAGCTTACAACACCACTGGTCTCCCCACAAAATGATGTTGGGGAAATGAGTGTAAAAACTCTATACTGATGAAGCGTCCCCACCCAGATCTGGCTAATGCTTCTGATGAGTTGAAGCAAATTTCCTTAGTGACACAAGTCCCAATCAGAGGCACTACCCAGATCTGGGTAGTCAAACATCATTAGTATGTAATTTCTGCACTCCTTCCTCAGATGTCATTTTGTTGGAAGCCAGTAGTGGCTTTGCAAAAACCTATTTTTATGAATTTATCAAGTCTGCATACCAGCACTGATAAGCTTTATCCATGGGAACTCGAAAATAACCTGATTTTTTTTACTTTCTCATTTAAGTCCCAACAAAGTCATATCTATCTAGAAAGAAATTTATTGACTCGTCCATAGCATTTTATAGTTACAACAATTATGCTAAATCTACATTCCATAATAACCACTGTCATTAAATTTACATATACATGTATAATGTACAGACAGGATTCATAGAACCAAAATAATACATATTTTATACAGAAAAAGGTTTGACACTGGCTTTACGTACAAAGTAAAAATGCTTTCTAATATAAACATCAGCATGTTGTTTCTCTTTGCAGTAACAATTAAATAATTTACATCATCAGAAACTGATGAATATGAAGCATTTTTGAGCACTGAATAAGCTCTTTTGAAACTGTTTTTCAAAACCAGGGTCAACCTTTTCATGAATTTTGTAATTTGATATCCCAACGGCCATTATTTCTCTTCTTTCTGGCCTTCCTTTTCATTTTCCTGAATACTTGGAGAAGTTCCTGAGGAAGGTGACCCTGAGGACCTCTGAAGTAAACCTGACCCCAAAGGGCTGCGGCTGCCTCCACTAAGAAGCCTACTTGATAACGAGCTGCTTATGCTACTCAGAGTGCTGGTGATGCCACTAGTTTGACGACGAGACAGCACAGGTCTTTCAAGTCGCTCATCTAAAATAGGGATGTTGTCCAGGGCTTGAACTTCACATGAAGCCCAGTCTGGAATCTTTTGCTCCTGTGCATATCTCTCTTTAGTTACAGATCGGTCTGCTAGGACCTCTAGAGCACCAAATATTGCACCTGCAGAAAGAAAATTAACTGTTATTGCAGAGGCCTACTTTTCTAATCTCATAACTCTAATCCTTGTCCTGTACTGCAAAGGCCCGACTGCTGGTCAAGGGGAACAAACACGCTGGGTACAAGGGTGCTTAATTTTACCTCCTGGCCCCTATTGTTCAAAGGTTGGATAGTGCTATCCACCGGATAAATCACCAACCAGCTGCTAAGTAGTATGAACAACCAATTGAGTTAATGATTCATCCAGTGGATAGTGTTATCCACCTTGTGAACGACTGGAGCCTGGAGTTTTATAAATGAAGTGACGATACCACTAAGACCCTTTTCTCAGTTCAGATTAATATGTCGTTGGGTGGGGACAAGAAGCCATTAACCTTTTCTCCCTGGGGTATCCCCAGGAAAGGAAAACTGTTACATTGCCTTTAAAAATTATAAAAATCCCCTTGGGTTACCTTCGCTCCCCAGCCTTTATTGCTACATTTTAAAGAAACCAACAAAGCCCCAAAAGAAATGCTGTACATTGAAAGAACATGTGCAACTCTCTTTCATAGGAGCAGGGGATGTTTCCCCAGTGGTGTGGTCTACCTCTATCACACTGATACCATAGGTACAGTGTAGGGTGGGTTATTACAGTTAACTCATTAATTGACTGATAGTGGTAGCCAGGACTGAGGAGTGTTGACCTTACTGCAAGGCTGACACTAAGATTCTAAATTACAGGGTTTTGTAGACAGGGAATGTCCATTAGGTTTTATTTTCCTTTGGTTTGCTATGAAAGTAGCTGGAGGTCATGCTAATAGCAGCCAGGGAGCATGCCCTTGCTCATAGTGACATCCCTGTGTTACGAAAAATGTCCAAGTGAGGTTTTAACTAGTTTTCACAAGCAAAGAGAGTTTAACATAGTGGTTGTGTTAAGTCAAGTGTGACGGAAGCAGTACTTATTCAGTTTGGTGGAGGCCATGTAAGTTTATCGACTTACGTACAGTTCTAGAGTTTTACTTGGTGGAAAATACATTCACATTTGGAATAAATCTTCTAGTCGTTCATCCGACAACCCGGCATTCAGTTTGGTTTCAAGCAACCCATCCCCTAAAACATTACCCAATTAACACCCTGTTACTGGAAATAATACGACAAAAGCCGTTGTACTTTCATCAACAACACCAAACAAATTATTCACCTCCAAGCCATGATGTACAGTTGGCACTGATGGGTGTCTGGTGCATTTTTATTGTTTTCATAAACAAATTCTCTTTGTACCGAGGGGACTGAAGTAAACAGTAGATTTCTTGCATGAGACGATGCCTGCGAAAATAACCAGGAGAACCAGTTTAGAGCTACAGTTAAACCCTGCTTTATGGACACCCGCTTAAAATGGACATTTTTTCTTGTCCCTGTCCCTGGGGAAAGAAATTAAATCACTTACATTTTCTCTAAACGGACACTTTCTATGGCCCCCTTCAGTGTCTGTATTAACAGGATTCGACTGTACATTATTGATTGTGTTAATAAATCTGACTACTGATTTAGGGGGTTAGGAAGAACACTGCAAATTTCCCTGAGCTAAACAGATCCTACAAACTACTACCTTCATGTGACCATATAATAGAGAGTTTTAGATCCGAGTTTACCGCGAACCTCTAACCGCTGGAGGTCACGTGACAAGTCTTTCGTGTCACATTTGAGGTTTACGACGTGCGTTTTCAACGTGGGGAGGTACGTTTTCACGTATGTCATTTACCTGAAAGCTTTTAGCGTATAATAATATTCTTGTTTTATCTCACGTAATGATACAAAAATCTTGTGGAATAAGTCTTTATCCATTAACAGAGGCACAAATTCGGGCCAAATGCTAAATTTGATAAATCCTATTATATCTTGAAAACAAGTGCCATTCATGGCTGCTGATTCAAAATGGCGGTCGTAAATTTGCAAGAAGAACTAATGTAAGAATTTACAGCTCTTTGCTGCTAGATAACCCAGTGTTTCCGTAAATTTCTTTTACTTTCACTGATTGATATTTCTTCTATTTCTAAATGGAAAAATAAACCAGAATCAAGTTCTTTAATCCACCGCCAATCTAAATCGAATTATGTTTGAACGTCGAACCGCAAACGGGTAACCCCAAAGCGCGGTTAGAGGTTCGCGGTAAACTCGGACCTAAAACTCTCTAATAATTCTAAAATACGTGTAAGTTGACAAAGTATAAGTTTACCATAGAAGAAAATTGTTAAGCACTTGCATTTTGGTGCACTACATCTTATGCAGTCCCGGTTGGTATACCAAAAATGTTCATTTTTACTTAAAAGCATATTTCTGACTTGAAACGAATGGTGAATCAAAATCCCAATGCAAGATGTTTCTAACAATAAACCCTTTCACAGTTCTTTTCAAGTTTTGATATATAGGGACCAATTTTATCATTAGGGGATATATATCTATCAACACTACTATAAAGAGCACCTTAAAATAATGTTAGTAAACTGCCAATTTTAAAAGTGATATATTTTGAAGAGTGGAAAGATACACCTTTGCAAAATCGCAAAAATTTACATAACTGTGAGGTGCTCCCACCACACACACACGTCACCACACGTCTGTAAAATTTAGCCACCTTGAGTGTGGTGTGACAACTGTATTTGAAATAAGTCATATATGAGGCTTCTTATACAATTGCATAAATTGCGTTTACAACTGCGAGGATCATTCTTCATTTGATTAGCTACTTGGTAGAGTTGGTATAATCTTCATTATTTGTCAAAATATCACTCTCAGACTCAGCACCTCTACTAGTTTTAAGGTGCTCTTAGCAGCAGTGTTGACAGATGTTTGCCAACTGGTCCATCCCAAAAGTTGAAAAAACAGTGGAATTGGGTTCATCTTTCCCTGCATAATTATAAATAAGAATATTAATTAATTTTAAAAATGTATTAAGGGAGGGATATATTTTACTCACTTGAAACCTGGCGTCATTACAGTTCCACCGATAAGAACTATGTTTTCTGCTAGTGGTTTTCTTGTATCAATTGGACACTATGAAAGGTAAGAAAAAAATTTGGAAAAACAGTAAATTATCGTTACAGTTTATTTTGAGAAATTAAAATAATTGCAATCTCCCCACACAAGAAAAAATTACTAAATAAATTACATTGTTCTATGTGGGTATATTATTGTGGAGGAAGATGTCATTTTCTTTTCTAAAACCTCTTGGTGAGCTATCCCAGCAGCATTGACAAGATTGAAAAGTACATTGTACCTTTAGTAAGGAATCTAACAAACAGGTTGCGAGGGATTTTTCTTCTTCATCACCATCAAAAAGGATGTCAAATGTCTGTTCTCTGAAAAAATAAGTCAGCAAAAAGGTCAGCTGCCAATCCTATTTAGGAATAATGTGTGCAGAGGTTCAATTTTACCCCTGTGCTTGTGAAGGTTTGTATCTGCCCTGCATTCTTGGACACAAAATTGTTGAAAAAAGTCAAATTTTGAGACCCTTGAAGGTGTCCCGTCTAAAGCACAAGAACCTGTTGATATCAGTCATTGTACTTAGTGCAAATGCTTTACAGAAATGGTGTTCCCCAGCCCGTGACCTTAAGACTGACCCAGAGTTAAAGCCAAATTTAAAGCAGAGTTTTTGTAACTGGAAATGCGTAACTATAGCTTATAAAAGATTTAAACCTTAACTCTGCGACTCAGTTATAAAACACAGGGTTAAAAAAAATCTTGAGTTCCAACTTATCTTTTGGGCACTTGAGCAGCTCTCACATTTCGCTTGCTGGCCAGAGCCACTTCTTACTCATCTTAGTTACAGAGCTTTTCAAAAACACACAAAGTTCTGAAGTTAAAAAGCCACCTAACATTTCCATCAATCATCATTGCAGACCTCTTAGGAGACAGAACTTTACTTTAACAGGTTCAAAAGGTCATGTTTTGTGATTTGTGATTGGTGGATTTCGATCCGTTTGTGTGTTTCTGTATTTCAAAGTTCGTTGCTTGTGATCATAATTATTATGATTGACAGCAGCAAAAATGAAATTGTGAAGACAGCTTCCGAACTTTAGAGTTTGCGAGATTGTGAAAAGCGTAGTAATGATTTTTTTAGAGGATGACTTGCCTGTACCCTTGCCCATTGTTAAGTAAGCTTTAAAAGTTATTTGCCTGGCAAGAAAAACTACTTGTCTCGGACTACTGGACCAGACGTTTTTCGAGCCCTGACACAAAGTGGCACTCTAAAACTAACCAACAAGATAATATTTTCCTTTTTTTTTTACCTGATTTGACCTTCAATCCTGAGTATCCTGCCCCCATCTAGTGGATAGTCAACTTTTGGAACCAAAGACGCTGGACGTGGCTCTCCTTCAGGCCCACTAAACTTTGGCGCCACAAAGCAGGTACGCACTGAAAACAGTATTAAGATTAATAATGGCAGTGTTCCAGTATGTCAGTAGTTTTGGGTCAACGGGGGTACGGGGTGTGTATTAAATGGCCCCAAGCCCTGAATGGCCTGCTCATTTGCCCAAAAGAGACAGCATGAAGGTTACCGACTATTCTGGATTACTAATACTTTTTTTTCATTATTGTAAAAAGATATTTTAATTGTAATCCAATGTTACATGTACAAGAAAGGTTCATTAGACTTTCACCCAATATGGCAAATAGGTTGTACATAAAAATCTGCACACAATGATGTGGATTGAGGCAGTATATTTTTTGTTCTGGTCTGATATGTTGTTTATCGATTTCTTAAGGGAGACAGGGAGTGTGCAACACAACATTTTCATATGTTTCACACCATTCAAATGATTTTGTCAAATCCTTTCAATACCACTCTATAAAAGGTTCTTCCCTCTGTGATAAATTCAATAAAAGTTAAATAATTTCACCTTTTATGTCTTCTAAAGTATCATTTCCAAGAGAGTCTGCAGAAAATTTAAAACAGTTACAATCAGAGGTGTGGTATTTTGTCTATGGATCTGCACCAAACAAATCAAAATTTCTTATAATGGTTATGTAATCAGGCATCTGCATATTTAGCATCTTGCAGACTTCTGAATAAACACAATTACTATTATAAGTACAGTTGTTAACTTCATTTTATTTTCTTGTGTTTAACTTAAATGATGTGTTCATGTCCAACTTAACACCATTAAATGTTCTATCAGAAGGTCAACTGTAGAGCAACCTAATTTCAACAACAGCTTTGCACTCACTCACTACTGATGACAAAGGTTTTACTCCTGTTTCTATTTGAACAAGGCTTCTTTCCATGAGCTGCTCTTCTAGATGCCTGACAAATTAATTAAGAAATAAGATAAATCAGCACATTGAACCATTAATCTTTGTTCTATCATTTGCTCGTATTTTTGATTATCCACGTCATGCAGTACAATGCTATCAACGGTTGTCTTACTTTAGTTGGTTTTATTACCGTGCCTTATCAATAACACGTAAACTCTAAATTTAAAAGCCAGCTTACATTAAGTACGTTTTGCTGTTGTCAATCGTAATTGTGATCACAAGCAAGGAACCTTATGGAAAGACAGAAACACACCAAACAGATCGAAATCCAAAAATCATAAATCACAAACCATGATCTTTTGAACTTGTTCAAGGAAACTTCTGTTTCCTAAAGGTTTGCTCCGATGATTTTTGGCAGTGAAGAACGGAAACGTTAGTTGGCTTTTGAACTTCAGAATTTGCGTGTTTTAGAAAAGAGCAACTTAATAACAGAATGATTTAAATGAAGTTAAATAAGATATTTGTTTGACACAGTTAAGAACAAGGAGTGCGGGCGTGGTCAGTGGTTAGTCGTTTGGCTCAAGTACGGTTAGCCTTGCTTGCATCACCTCCTTGTACTCAGTGCAGCGTTTTCCTGGCGGCCACTCTCTTTGTTTAGCCTTTGGATCATTCTTTTACCCCCATCCCTCAACACTTTATTCTTCCACTGATAAATCAGTGTGGCAGGTGCCTGGTTCCATTGGTGTGAGGGCTCATGGCTGGAGGGTGCAGGTTTGCCAGCCATGGGGGAATAACTCAGAGTCTCCTGGACATCCTGGGCACCCTCCTCCACTAAAAACCACTAACATAGTGTCCTAGATCAATATTCTTACTTGTGAATAGCTTTTGATCCAAGGGGAATGGTTTGCACAGCTTTCAGAATAGCAGTACCCTCAAAGACGTAATACCAACAGCAGCAGAGTGTTAAGAAAAAAATAATCATAAGTACATGTAAAGTTAATAAGAGGCAGATCTGGCCGTGATCAAAACATGCACTTCTCAAAGCTCAGGAGTATTACTGTACTAGGAAGAAACATTATGAAAGCTAGTAGATGACATAATCTTTGGGAAATTTATCAATTTTGTGTAAGCCTCAATTATTTTATTTTCTGTTCTTTGTTGTGACTGGTCTTGAAACAACAAATATTCACACCAGGTACTCTATGGTTCATTTCATTGTAATATGTACTAGCTTGTTCCAGGCCTGATTCGGATTGTTGGGAGCAGCTTCAATTAAAATGGGGCATGTAAAAATGAAAACGAGGGAGGGGGAAGGAGGAGAGGGATCCTCACCACTCACCCCAACCTTCCCACTACTTTTCCTTGCTGTCTTTACTTTGTGCTAACTATCTGAATGCCTGAAACAGGCTACTGTAATACATGTACACTCCTGAAAAGATGGACTTAATTACGGCTAAAACATTGTCTTCTCTTAGCCAGTTCCAGGTGTTCAGATGGTGGGGAGTGAGCAAAAAATTAGTTGGGCGCGGGCAAAAAATTGACGAGGGAAGAAATAGGGCAGGAAAAGTCTCCCCTCGTTTTTTTCCCTCGTGTTTCTTTTTGCGCTCGCTGCGTACGATTTAACTCTCTCCTCACATCTGATATACTCTCTGACTTCTGATGGTCAAAACTATGGTTAAAAGATGTGCTAGCAGTATGCATGGCTTATTGCTGCCGTATTGATGACACCATCTATTTGTCTATCATAAAAGGATATTGGTAAGACTACAGTCTCTGTAAAGCCACAGTCCATAATAAGACCTGATGGTACACCAAGGGTGAACAGAGCTAACAGATGATGAGGTGCAAACAAAACTGAAGGTACCTGGTGAATGGACAGAAAAAGCACAGACTATAAACTGGGGCTTCAAAATTAACCAATAAAGTCCTCAAATATATATTGCACACTTTTTATCTGTACTGTTTTGTTCAAAGGTACATGTACAACAATAATGACAGTATTTATTATCATTTATTCATTCAGCAAAACATTTTCTCTATTTTTTCTATAAAGGTTTCTTTAAAAATTTTTCTCAAACGATGCTAGTATTGCAAGCTACTCATAGAATTAAATAATTTGTGTACATTAATTTTTTAGCATAAATGCACACAGCCTTGTTTTCCGTAAGTTTCATTGAAAGGTTAATCATGTTCACCTCAAAGTGCTTGAAAAGAACTTTGGCGATAGCATTTCTCCAGAGTGTTGAGCAGAGGACAGACTCACAGATAATAACCCTTCTGTCTCGAGGGTTGACAAGAAGGTATCTAAAGAGGGAGTGAGAAAAAAAATTAAGCACAGAAATCATTCGATGGGAAATGAATGAAAAATCACTTAATAAATAGTCAATAAAAGTGTAAATAAACTTACATTGTACATGAATTTATTTCATAATTATTAATACATGTATCTTATAATTCAGTTTATTTATAAGAAATCAAAGTCTGAAAATTGGAGGACTGATGACAACTCTGATGATGCTCAATGGGGAGCAAGGGATGGCGAAATGGTGAGAGCGCTCACCTCCCACCAATGTGGCCCGGGTTCAAATCCTGGCGTTGACGCCATATGTGGGTTGAGTTTGTTGTTGGTTCTCTCCTCTGCTCTGCGAGGTTTTTCTCCGGGTGCCCCAGTTTTCCCCTCTCCTCAAAAAACCAACATTTCCGAATTCCAATTCGACCAGGAATCAGGTAGGTGAAGAACCACTTTGTGGACGTGCTACCCCCAAAATCATTATCTTTTTTATTAAAAAAAAATATTAACTAATAGTTTTATTTTCTGTTATCATTGTCATACATTATTTAAGCAGCAATTATGGACTGATTTCCTGGACAAAACAATAACATTCAATCATGCATCCGCTATGTTTGGAAGTGCCCAGTCTGGGAAGTGACTGAGGACAAAATTAATGTCAGGCTACATTAGTAACTTACCGAAAATATATTTGATGGAGAAAGTCTCTTAAGACTGCATACAGTTCATCAGGGTTTCTGTCTTGTTCATTGGTCACAATACTAACCGTCTCTGTCTAAATTTACAACACAAGTCAACAAAAATCAACAGTTTATTAAGAGGTGAATTTTGATACACGAACACACCAGAAAAATATCTAACTGGTCACTTCTAACTTTTCAATCTGTTGAAAAGATAGCTTCAGAGTTACCAATAAAAAGAGCTCTATGCTGCAGACTCTTACAAGATATGAAAAAATATGTGAAGTGTACTGTAAGAAGATGGCAGTACATTGACATACTCATACCAAGCTCTCTTGATAATACTAGCAAGTAGTCTGTACTCCTGATTTATATTGGCTGAGTATTCTCATAACTGCAATGAGCAAGGAACTTTAGGCTGATCTTAGAGATTATATGGAATCAAATCAACTTCTTGATGATTGCAGCGATCATAGTAGTCATAGACCTTGCTCCCAGGGTTCTCTCCTACTTGCTGGACGAGTAGGAGACAATCCTGAGAATGAGGTTGAGTAGTCCTTGCAACAACAGTCACTGAGAAAGACAACTTGACCACTTCAAGGTACAAATCCACATATCAGCACATAAGAAGAGTCAGGAAAAAGCATTTGGCTAAGGTACAGCCACACCCCATTAATTTGGACACTAAGGCCGTCATAGAAAGCATTCGTACTAATGGGTGTTCGTATTAAGTGGGTTGAATTTAGAGAAAATGTAATTCTAAGGGCTTTCTTTGCCCAGGGACAAAGCAAACTGTCTGTAATAATGAGGTGTCTGTATTAAGCAGCTGTCTGTAAGCGGGCTTTGACTGTGTTTTGCACGTTTCAATAACTGTTACCAGAAAATACCACAACTGGGACAGCATAAAATACTAAGCAAATACCAAAAAATGTATTCCACAAGAGCAAGAAAACACAAAGTATCACCCCAGGAAAAATACCTATTATAAAATGCATTGGACATATTGTAATAATAATTATTGACTACTTCTGGATATGAATCTAACTTTATCGCATCCTAACCATTTGACATTTGGCCGCATACTGGTTGTGTTTCTATGGCAACTCACCTGTCCATTTATGGTATGTGTGAGCACACTGCGGATGACGTGACGGGGACTTGTCTCAGAGGCAAAACCACATCTGAATAAAAGAGAGACAACAAAGTTTACATGCGGTGTACGAACATGACAGGCATACACAAAAATGATGCAAAACAAAAAACAAACTATGTAGAGTGGAACCTTGATATAATGCACCGTATATAGCAAGTCCTGGGCAAAATGAAGAATACTCTTTGTTACAGAAAAAGTAAAATATATGGGAAAAAACTTTGATAGAAAACCTTGTAAAAGCAAATGCATTTGGTCTGTCCCTTGACCCATTGTTGTATCATGGTTCCACTGTATATACCGTAGAACAATGGAATAGGAGTGTCTGGGTTCTATGGAAACTGTTGTTGGTAACTATTGTTTTGTGGCGTACATGTAGGTACTACGCAGTGCTTCAAATCTCTTGACTGGTGTCATTTAGTGATCACATTATTTACAACACCAATAGACTGCCCATGGAAGGCAAAAAGGACAAAAAACATGTACAATCATACACGACATGTTTTTGCAGTTATCTTTATTATTAACAATCACTGAATAAAGCTAAGTATGACATAAAGAATGCAGATCAAAGTTACTCTTAGTCTCAGTTGATGACAACCTAGTCGAATTGAGATCTGCATAATTCTGTACATCATACTAAGCCCAATTCAATAAATTTTTTGTTGCTCATTCAAAATATGTACAAGCTTACAGGGAATTTATCAAGGGGATTTAATCAGATCAAAAATGGAGAAATATTTTGCAGTATTTTAGTGACTGATTTTGGCCCATTTCGTAATGCTTTACTGTACTAAATATTTAGAGGGAAACCACTCCCAGGAATGAATTCTCTACCCAAATACATACGGTGCAGTTAACTTCTAGTTTGATTCTTTGAAACCTTGAACACTTCACTGAACTGGAACCTTTGTAATATCAAAACCATCTTACTTTGTATAGGCTGCTCCGATGTCGATAACAACAGCAAGTTTCTCACTCCCAAGTCCAATAACGTCAAATAAAGGCATTATTTTCCATTCATTTCATCGAAAAAATAGAAAATAAACCTTCACAGTATCAGCGACCCCCAGCAAAACAAGGCAATTCGTGCGACCACAAACAATGAGTCAGCGGATTGAAAAGCAGTAGTTCTGTCATGTACGGTGAACGAAATATAGCAATAACCTTGTTTCCTCTCCCCTCTCCCGTGAATCTCTTATTGACCTGTGTGGTTTCCGGTTAGTGGCTTCCTTCAAAATCAAAATGGCGGAAGAACTTCCAAAATTCGATGTCGTTGTTGTCGGATCCTGCATGACTGACCTCGTGAGGTTGGCATAAGCAACGAGACAAACATTTTCCTTTATTTTGATGCGAAACCTTTCTGTCTAAAGATGTTGTTTTTCTTCACATCTCCAGCTATGTTCCACGTCTCCCCAGACCGGGTGAAACCATTCATGGAACGAAATTCTCAATGGGATTTGGTGGCAAAGGGGCTAACCAGTGCGTAATGGCTGCAAGACTTGGGGCTAAAACCGCTATGGTTGCTAAAGTAAGTAAGCTTGTCAAGGACAGCGAGGTATTTGTTTGTTCCACAACAGTCAAGGTAGTAGCATGTGGAAGACTGCAGGAGGTGTGAATTAAACACAGTAACTTTGCCGGGCGACTCGAACGTCTAAATTAAGCTTAAATCTGCCATAATATTGTGCTTAGTATCGCTGATATCGGTTTTTTTTATAGTGATTTTGTTTTCCTCGATAAATACGTGTCTGAAGATATAATCGCTTTATTTTATTGAACATTTAAAAAAAAATTGGAAGCTTCGATGGGTTTTGACCTTTGAATCAGTTATGTATTAAAGCTTATACTAGGTCGAACAATATGAAACGGTCCACATACTTCAACAGGAAAAAGAAATTGTAAAGCTCATTTTCAATGTTGACACGGATGTGGTTATTTGCAGGAAAAGAATGGACTGAAAAAATTAAATGCGGCAAGCGTAAACATATTTCATTCTTGGTTTCATTTTGCCGTCGATTGCAAATCTGATAAAATTTTACTTTTGTGGAAATTTAAGTGAGCGAAGTAACTTCTTATGTGAACAATTTTAATGTTTGCTACTTCACTTGTGTCCAGACACTGAAGTGATCTTCAAATATTGAGGCTCAAGTGTAGCAAAATTGTGAGAAAATCGGATTCTCGTTTTCGGTTTGTAATATTTTGCATAAACTTATGCTGAACAAAGTAAATCTCTTTATCACAAAGATTCCTTTTTAAACGTTTTTGTTTTCTAATAAAGCTGTTCAGGTTATTGCCATTTGGATTTAATTATTTCCCAAAGGTGCTGTTAATTTTTAAATCTGTTTTAATTAGTTTATTCAAATGCTAATTTCTGTTTTTGAAAACAGCTGTTATTTGAATATACCTTGATACAGATGTAAAATGCGTTGTACATTTTCTATACACAGATTTCATGTTCAACATATTAACAGTCATGACTTTTGTCTTTTGTGGAATGCCATGAAATAGACAATACAGTTAACAGTTAAAAGACAATGATACATTTCTTCCCTTCATAGACAGGTTTTTATTTGAGTCAGTGAAATTATAGATAATGATGTCTGCTTTCATTAATGTAAATTTCCTTACATGTTGTGGTTCACTTGGTCATTGCAAGTCAATTTCCCGCGTTTGTTTTACACCTAGAATTGAACACTGTTCGAACCACAGGTGTCACAAGCTCAAAATGCATTATTTTTTATAGTGGGTCAGTCTAGCCTGCGCAACAGATGGCATTTAACTCTGGTAAGTCCATCTGCAAAACAGAGCTGAAATCTTTGTTCTGGGTCCCCACCTGTGTATCAGAATTTGAGTATGCGCCATGATTGGCCTGTAAACCAACTGCCTTGCTTAAGTGGAAGGTGGGTGTCTGGGATACCTAGGGGCTTCCACTGTGGCCAGCCATCTGCTGGATAGCATACTGCCCCCATGGCTGGCAAATCCCCTCAACCCAGCCACAAGCCCCCATTCCAGGCACCCGTCACACTGATGAAACAGTGGAAAGAAGAAAAATAAGGGATGGGAGGGGGGGAAGACGCTAAATGAACCACTCCTCAGACCATTGCACAAACGCTCAATGAAGAACTTGCAGATCCTAGCAATGTACAAAGCTAGCACGTACCATGTGAGCCTGCACTTATGGGATTGACCGCTGGATGCCCGCTAAGCATGTGGACCGCTTGACTGCTAAGCTGGTGGTGGTTAACGTAGTTAAATTACATTTCACCAAATTTAAAAAAGCCTTTGTGGATTTGTCAGCCAGGTTGAAAGGAAATTCAAAAAGTACTTCCTCTTATTTGTTGAGACTGTATTGGGCCTAGAACAAGGATCTCATGGGTGCTGCTTTGCAGATCGCTACAAACCAGGGGTCGATAAATAAATTCTGTGATGCAGGCTAGGGTCAGTCGAGCAGTAGTTCAATATAAGGATTAATAATAATTATGGGAAAAATCGACATGGTTGTGTAACTCAATTTAAATGAGTACTGAATTAAACATTTCCTCCTTTGTGGTTTTTTGGTCCATTTTTGGTCATTTAAGTAGTTTTCTATTTAATAGTGGAATATGTGGAACAAAATGCTGATTGTAAAACTACTAATTGACCAGGAAATTACACATTTGCTGGCCTGCATTGCATGAATTTTCTTCAGGTGTGCAACTGTTTTTTCTTGTATAACTTCCTTGTTGAATTTAAGTTGACATGTGTATTTCCTTGCATTGCATTTTACATGTGAACCACACCTTATTTGTACCGCAGGAACATCTACCTATCCTGGACAATCTGACTGGACTCTTTTCAATCCCTGATTGAGTCGGGGAAAAAAGGGTTTTAAATTTGTCAAGCTTATCTACACTGTAAATACCATTATTCAACTTTATTTGACGTGTTTAAATGTTTGCCTGAGAAAATAGCTTACATTTCATGACGCAACAACTGGTTTCCATGTGAAATTACATCTGACAAATGAGCACAGAAATTCCACACTGATGATGCCTCATTACTACGTGGGTATTGCTTCTGATTGGCTGAAACAAATTTCCCCTCATGGCACGACCAATCAGAAGCTCTACTCAGATCTGGGTAGTGACGCATCATCAGTATGGAACTTCTGTGGTCGTGACAGTCATAGACGTCATTTCATGGGAAACCAATGGTGGCATCACAGAATGTTGGCTGTTTTCTCAGACTATTTAAATGGCAGTAATTATATCTTTTAGGTAGGTAATGATTGCTTTGGAGAGCGATGCATTGAAAATTTGAAACAAAATGGAGTTAACACAGGTATGAGCTACATTGTACAGTTGAGCCTTTCTAATGATTGATACAGTTGTTATTTTTATTGCCCATGATAAAAATGGGGCATTTATTAACACCATTTAATCCGAAGTTGGGCACTGGCATCTTCGTAAATCTCATGGCCTTCTGTAGTCTGGTGTGGGTGGGGGAGGGGGTTGTATTGGATTTAGGGGATTGGTGCTCCTGTCAAAACGTCTGGGGACAAATCAAGTGTTCAATCTGTGCAGCCTGTACAGATATCCGTAGAGAACTTTATAACACAGTTGTTAATATAAGTCTAATCTTTCACTGTTGAGTGTTTAATGCCATATTAGTTGATTCAACAACAACAAAGCTAAAATGGTATTACCATTTTTTTGACAATGAGCACTCTCTGCCACTATCAAGCTATTCAAGGTGGGAAGTGCATGCAAGTATAGTTCAGATCAAAGCTTATGGCAAGTTTACAGCAGTGTTCATTGAAAGAGAGGGCATTGCTTAAGCAGTGCATGGTGGCCCCTGGCACCTAGCTTTTCCTTCTGGACAACTAGAAAATCTTAGGGTCAGTTATTTAAACGAAGTCTAACTTAGGCTGCCGTTTAAGAAATCATTGGACCTCCAGGTCTTCTTCTTAAGGGGTTAATTTAAGAAAGTAAGTCTGCACTTTATTTTTTATTCAAATTGTTCATGAAAAATGGTGTTTAGATAAAAGCGCTGGGTAAACTGAAAATGGCTTAGAATGAAGTTTTGTTAAACACCGGCTAAACTCTTTTTAAATAATTGGTCCTCAGTGTTTTCATAGACATCATATGCTGGGCACACTGGATTTCACAGGTTCACAACACTGGGCTTCCTTCAATTCTTGTTAGAGTGCAACCTTAGCTTGTGGGAAGTAGCTTAAAAAAGTCCCCTGCCTGAAAGCCAAATTAAATGAAACCAAGTAAATACAAATTGAATCAGCTGATTTGCTTATTTTCAGCATTTTTAGTTTTGGATGTGCATGGTTGAATCGTGTCTTCTTGGTTGATGTTTTGTAGATTATGTGAGCGCGACATCTGAGGCATCTACAGGAGTTGCTCCAATTGCAGTCAATGCAAATGGTAACTACTTTGTAATAATAATATTATTATTAGTGTGACTAGTTTGATGCTTTTGCAATGTAAATGACATTATTTTGTGGAATGCATTTGGTGATTCCAGGACTACAAGACCATCATTAAGAGTTACCATACATTGTACTAAGTCTCCATTTCTTAAGCCTACCCTTAAGGTGAAATTAGCCTAAATTTACTTGCAATTTATTGTGGACATGATGGAGACTGAGCTAGTAACCTCAATACCAAGAGTCTAGCTATTATGGGGAGGTTTGTTTCACCCAAAAATCGAAACTTCATAACTGCTTGTAGAGAGTTCTGATATTGTTACTGGATGTCCTTTACTTGCATGTGAAATGTCTCTTGTTAGAAAAAAGCGGGCATCACTGAATCATCTAGACCATAGCTAATTTAAGTGGAATGGTTGGGAAACCCTTCGTTATGGGTTTTTGTTAGCTGTTTTGGACCTGATTGTGCACAACGTTCAATAACATTCCTATCATTTTGAACTTACCGACCAATAGAAACATTGCATTAAATTATTCAGTCATAATTTGTGAACAGAAAACAAAGGATTATGCACGGTCAGGGAGCTTCCAATGTAAACTACAGCACCATTGTTTTCAACTTTGATGTTTTACGGGTTTCCCAACCAGTCTCCTCTACTAACTATGTCTAGACTGCTTGAGAAGTGAATTACCCTTAACCCTTTAAGCCCTAGTATCCACATACAAATTCTCCAAACTAATCTCCAAACATTTCCTGAAAGAATTAGTTGAGAGAATGTGATAATAGATCAAGGCATTTTCTCTCGGGTGATCATTTTATTAATTCTCATAACTTGTCTCTTGACAGCGTATGGATATTGTTAGGAAAAAATTGATCTTGGTCACTATATATTGGGACTTAAAGGATTAATGCTTTACCTAGACTGCTTGAGAAGTGAATTACCCTTAACACTTTCACAGGAAAAAATAGCAGATGCACTTGCACTTTTTATTTGAGTGTCAATGTATTTAGCATGAAAGTACTAATTGGGGACACTATATTTTACGTCTCCAACTGGAGACGGGACCGCCATTTTTCGTGGTCATTCGAGCCACGCGAAGGTCTAGCCTGTTGCAGTGCAAAGGGAGTACCTTCATTTCTCGGTTGTTTTAAGACCCTGAGTATTGGTCCAGCCCCTGGTCTCGAACCCCCGACGTCCCGCTCTGCAGTCAACACGCTCTACCGACTGAGCTAACACTGCCAGATTCCCATTATTGAATATTTTAGGGTATTTATAGAATACCCATAAAAATCCCAAATTTGGCAAAGTGAGACAAGTCCCAACCAGGGAATTCCCAACCAAGTTCCCTGGTTGGGACTTGTCTCACTCTTCCATATTTGGGATTTTTGTGGGTATTCTTTAAATACCCTAAAATATCCAAAAATGGGAATCTGTTATTTTTTCCTGTGTTTTTGACAGAAAAAGGAGGATTAGTTTAAGGAAGTAGAACTTAGCAGTCTCTCTAGCAATAGTGGTTGCGACTACTAACGGCATTGATTTTTACAGGAGAGAATTCTATTGTCGTCGTCAGTGGAGCTAATGATATCCTGTCATTGGAAGATGTGGCAAATGCAAAGTCTGTGATAATATCGTCATCAGTTTGTGTTTGTCAGTTGGAAATAAATCCTGAAGTGACACATTTTGCTCTTAACGTCGCAAAGAAATTAGGAGGTGTGTTTCATTTGCCAGTTATGATATTACTTGAATCTTACTATTTTGCGTATACTGCAAGTTGTTATAAATCACTCTTTGCATGCAGGGCCAGGTTACCATAAATCTGCCATTAAGATCCACTCCCCAACTCACAGTTTCCAAAAGTAACCATAAATGAAACACTGATTAACAAGTAATTAAAAGCACATTAGTTCTACTTTCAGTATTATTCATATTTATTTATTTGACTTTGATTTTGGTGTTGTGTGGTTCCCCCCTCTCTGGAAATTCCAGTCAAGCTTCATACATTTACTTAAATTTTTGGGCCTTTGAGAACCCTGCCCCCCCCAGGAATTTCCAATCCCTTCTGTGAGGGGAATATTATGCCATCAAATCCTGGACAAAATGTTCATCTCGTCTCGTCACAAATTC